ATATATATATATATATATATATATATATGTAGCAAACATGTAATAAACATTTTTAAAAACCTAAAATATAGGAATAAAGAATTTTGGTTTCTTGCAACCAGGGATTTAACTTGGGCCCTTGTGCTTGCAAGGTAGGCAGCAGAACCACTGAGCTAAATCCCCAGCCCTCTTGTAATGCTTTTGGCAAAGACATCCTCTTCTAGGAAGAGTATGTATTTCCATCTGTTAATTTTAAAACATAGCATTGACTCCCTTATAAGGAATTAAAGCAGGAACCGTAAGTCTCTGGGTTTAGAAACAAAAATAAAAACAACAAAACATTACTCAAGATGACAGTTTATTTTTGGTAAATTCAGTTGAAGGCAGTATTATTTTCTAGTCTGCCAAAGAAATTGTAGTCTTACCTTAAAATAAATCCTAGTTCATTAATATGAAATTTCTTTCCATTTTTCTCCTAACTCCCCAAGAGACTGTGTATTTTCATTTGATTCCTTTGAACTCTGTATTTCTCCTCATTCATAGCACTGTATATATATATATTTTTTGGTAGAATGAGAATTTGTTTCAAGTCATGGTTAGTCAGAATAGCTAAATTCTAGGACCAGGGATTTAGCTCAGTGGCACCGAGCTTGTCTTGCAAATGCAAGGTCCTGAGTTTGATCTCCGATACCAAAAAAGAAAACAAAAGAATAGCTGAATTCTTTTTTTTTTCAACTTTCAACTTTATATTTTCAAACAAAATAAGCAAAAACACTGCTAAAGAAATCAGCAGAAGTAATACAATTTTAATTTCAAAATTTTAAAGTACAAAAATTGAAAAGAATACTAAATACAACTTTAAACAACTCTCTTGTCTTCCCCTATAATAATCATTGTAAACTACTTAAAGACTTAGAAATTGAGAGTAGGGCCAGGATTTAGCTCAGCGGTTCAGTGGCCTGCCTTGCAAATGCGAGGACCTGAGTTCGATCAAAAAAAAAAAAATTGAGAGTAAAACAAAAACAAAATAAATACTGTCCATTTTCCCTGTCTATAGGCAATAGATGGGAAATAGTGTCGTGAATTAGAAAAAAAAATGCTCTTAAAGCTTCTGTGTCCCACTCCCCAGCCATGCCCTGTCCCACTCCCACACCTGTGCTTCTGTACTCAAAGGACATGTGTGTGCATACACTGGTGACATACACATAGACAAGACACTACCACGCAGACACCCCCAATGAGAAGGCAACAGTCACCTGGGACCATGGGCATAAAAACCAGTAAGGAAAGTCAGACTAGCAAAACATTACTACAAAGCTAGTAAATACCATAGCCAACAACTGTCCCATTTTCACATTTCACAGTTAAATCCCCTAAAACCAATACTAAACGTCCTCATCACTACCCTCCAACATCACCTAAAAGAAATCTTGCTGAAGCACTGGTAAAGTTAGATATCTCACAGGAATATGAAAACTCATATTATATAATCTCTTAACAGGAAACTTTTCACCCTCTTTCCACAGCATGCAACTGCTATGGCTTAATTTATATTAAAAGTAGAAAAGTCTTTTCTGAGGGAAATGCAGCCCTGCAAAGATGCACACACATTTCCTGATCAGTGGTATTTCATACATAACAACTGCATGACTTGCTTTTGCAGTCAGAAGCTGTTTTTGGAAAAACTGAGGTTATAGCTTTTGATTTAGTCTAACTATAACTGCAAGGCTCTTGGTTTGGTTTAGGTTTCTTTTGCAAGATAAAATAACCTTGGGGTTCACTTAGCAAGTTACACCTTATGTCCCTGACTACAATGTGGAAGTTGCATGTATGCTTTGTAAAAGTAAAAGGATACTTATGAATCTGAGAGGGAAGAAATGACTCTAGGCAAGGAATCAACTCCTTAGTATATATTTACATTTAGAGCCGGTAATTTTTACCAAGCAAAATCCAAAGAAATATGAGTATGTTTGGGTTATTTTATTCCTGGAAAATATTATATATTCTAGCACTTATGATCATGGTTTTGGTGAAAAATCTTGGGGTAATATAGCTGACATATTGAGAAGGAAATGAAACTAGTGGAAAACAAGTTTTCTGTGATTAAGTTCTAAGTATGACTGCTTTCGGAAATAAAGCAAAGTGAATTCAGACTGTCATGGGTCTTGCATAGGTAAACTACTTGGAGGTCAAGGGCTATGTGATAGCCAGGGTTTATTAGTGAAATAGTGCAGAGCAGGTAAGCTTGTTGGAAGAATCACTGAATACTTTGAAAAGATTTCAACAAAAATTAAGGCTGCACTTGTTTAGTCAAAGCCTTAGGAGACTACAGGGACACCAAGATGAGAGGGAGAGTGTACAAGTATCTCAAGGGACTATCATTTTCTTTTCCTCAGTGAAGAGTGCAAGGTGACGACAGAAGAACAAAACCAGTCAACCACAGTAAGCTAATTGCTTTGGAAATGGGCATTGCTTCTTAAGGATAATAACTGTTAGAAAGGATTTAGGTAAAGCATATCAAATATTTCATTTATACTGGTATTGTTGAAAAACTACGGGGAGGGTTTTCAGTAGGGCTGCATGGTGTTAAGATTACATTATGTTCAGTAACGATTGAGCAAGTGTGGGAATGCTGCCCCTTTGCACCTACCTTCACAGAAGCACATGGATATGTCTGCCACAAGACAGGCAGAGGCTGCAGCCTCCTGCAACTGGGGCTGTCTTAGGAAGCAAGGTTATGAGAGGTTCCAGTCCACGGTGTCCTCAGGCGAATCCCTGCCCTATTTGTCTTACATTTATTTACCAGCTTTGCACAGGCTGAAGGTTGTGATGCTCAGTGTTGAGACTGCTTTTGGTGAAGACGTAGCTCATCAGCAAAGGACTGATGCTCCCCCCTCTCCATCCTGCCCTGTGCTGGGGAACAGACCCAGGGCCTCCATCTGCTAGGCAAGAGCCTCTCTTTACACAGGGAGTGAATCAGTTAACATTTAGTGCAAAAGACAGACTGAAAAATCTCTAGATTTACATTATGAAGGCCCTGCCTCTCCGTGTGAAAACTGCACTCATCACTAGGACACTCACTTCTGGGAGCTGCAGTGGGCCATTGTCAGGGAGCAGTCTTGTCACTGACACAGGCATCTGTAGAAAACATCCAGCTGAGTCTCCCTCCCTCACTGCTCCAGTGAGAAGAAGAGCTGAATTTTATTGTTTTGCTCTCAAGATGAGTAGTGGCCAACATCAGGAAATTGCTGAGGGTGTTTGTAAAAATGTTTAGTGTTTGTAGCTTTAAACAGGAAAATGTAGCTGTTTTACTAAGGTGTTATCAAAATAATGAACACGTGAAACATGAAAATAATTATTGACTTGATAGTATAGGCTCCCAGCATGTGCTGTATGCACATTACAAAATTGTAGAAGTTACTTGGCTACAATTTAGAAAATACTGGTAGATACAGAAGTGGTCCAAAAACATCCATAGTGTCAGTCCTTGAGCCTTAAATATAAACATTAAAATCTTTGAGGGCCAGGTATGTTGGCAGGAGGCTGAGGCAGGAGGATTGCCGCTGAGTTCTAGAGCAGCCCGGGCCACACAGTGAGTTCAAGGCCTGAACTCTGTCTCAAAAATCCACCCCCTTAAAAAAATCACTTGAGTATTAATTGTAACTTGAAAATTTTATACTAAGACCATCATTACTTGCAGAATAATTACTCTCTTTTTTGCTAGGTAGCTATTTTTGCAGTGATAATCCTGCTGCCCTTCAGACTCAGATTCTGTGGGTAAGTTCCTCTTTTACCATTGTGTCTTTTGTTTGCTTTGAAGCACTTGTAACTGCTGAGACACAACTTTCAAGTTACTTAGTCTGAAATGTACAATGGATCTATTTTAAAATCTTTAGATACCAAATCAGGAGGCTGAAAGGATTGTTTACAAATTATATTGAGTTGCCACAAAACATTCATTTACTATAGCACATATGTGACTTGAAATTTTTTTTAACCTAAGATAATTGTGTGCTATTTCTATATTATTTTCAAAATACTAGTTTTTGCTTGAATTTTATTTTGTCTGTTCTTAATTATATGAAATGATTTTATGGGATAGCTTTTTGCTTTAGAATAGGGTATTATTTTTTTAAAATGTGGTCAGGAATTTCTGATACTGTTCATCACAGTATTCTTAGTCTAGTTTTGAATTGTAGAAATACATTTGTTAATTATAGTTTCTTGGTTATAGAATGTCTTTTTTTCTTTGTAAGCTTTTTACCATGGAGCAGGGGAAAATGCATAGATTACTCTTTCATTCCAAGTAAAAGTTGGCAGATAGAGAAGGTAAATTAGATAGGGACAGGCTAAGATTGTCCTTTTCTATGTGAGAGGAATCCCCAATGCATGGAGGAATTAGAGAGTAAGAATATAGAAGACACAGAAGGTCCAGTGCCCCTACCAGGATGGAATCCACAGAGCCCATAGAATGGGATATGCGTGCAAGAAGCTTCCAGGTGACCATTTTTCTGGGGCAGGGGTGCTGTAGTTTGAGATTCTCAAGGAAGTGACTAACAGATAATTAAAACATGCCTTGCAACAGAAGGAAAATATAACCACCTTCTATTTTAGATAGTCATATTTTGATTCATTAGTTGGTAAACCTCTTTGGAAGAATAATTCTGTTTTCTTTCTATGTAGGATATGCAGGTGAATACCACAAAATTCATGGTGCTGTATGCCTGGTATTCGTGGCCCAATGTAGTTTTGTGTTTCTTGGGTGGATTTTTGATAGACTGAGTCTTTGGAATACGGTAAGTGTGAAAAAAAAAATCTGACCTATGGGTAAATCTCACCTGGTTGTTAGAAAAATATCGGGTTAAAGTATATCTAGGAAGAATTGTGTAGACTTTGATATTAAAACTGTAGAATTGGTTTTTGAAAGTTGGTTGGTATATCAGTTAAGATCAGACTAGTGATGCTGTTAATGGAGCAAAGTAACTTGGTTACCTGGAGGGGTAAAGTATGCTTCACATTTGATCGGACAAACCAGGATCTGAATCTCCTTGCTGCCACTTACTCAACTACTTATCTGTTCTAAGCTATTCATAACTTCCTATGATTCTGTTTTCTCAATATTAAAGTGGATAATAATTCTTAGCTTGCAAGATTGTTACGAGTATTAAGTGGAAGATAGATATATAATATTTGGTACATAAGTAGTATGTATTTCCCCCAGCCCCAGTAAGATTTTCTGTTTCTGCCTTTCTTCATCCTTTGAAGATTTTCTGATGCTGTTTTAGACGCTGAGGGAGGAATAATACTACAGTAGAAGGCTTTGTCCCTTCATCCTTATTTGTAAGTTGTTAGCAAAGACTTAGCAATCAGCTGGGAATATAGTATTGGTAAAGTGTATTCAAACTGTGTCTAACGGATAAGAGTTGAGGTAACTCTTCAGTGTTTAGACTTGGAGACTAATTTTCAAAACTTTTCAGACTTAGAGTATGAAAGAAGAGTTAAATATATTTTATTTGGCCTCGATTGTCTTGTACTGTAGTGAATTTTCTAGTGCTAGAGAACATTCTGTAGAGCATGGTGTGGCCATTTCACAAGGATTTTGAAAGGGATTTAAGTTTCAGAAAGAGTTTACTCAGTTGACCTTTAAGGACTCTTGTAACACTGCCACTTCATTATTCTGAGGGGGTGTTAATTGATATTCAGACTATAATGTTGGACTTTATATTAACGTAGTTATTATTTGTCCTTTTAAAAGTAGTTTTTAGTTGTAAGAATTATAATCTTTTAAAATTACTTACTGTAGGAATTTCTTGGAATAAATCCTAAAATCTTTTTTTTTTGGTACCGTGGATTGAACTCGGGACCTTGCACTTATAAGGCAGGTGGCAGCACCACTGAGCTAAATCCCTGGCCCCTTAAATTAATAGAAATTTTATAAATAATTTTCACTTTTAAATAGTTCTGACCTAGGAACTTCTTGAAGATTATTTAATAAGTTTAAGTGGTGATAATGGCTTAAGACAGTATGCACTATTATCGAAGCCTCTGGAATTCCCTTATAAGTCTGGACTTCTGTAAATTACCATTTAGCCTAATAGAGGTGCTGATTTCAGAGGCATATGAGCACTTAATTGTTTTCTTTCCTTGGAGAGAATGAAGTGGGCAAAGAAAACCAAAATGAATTATTAATAAAGGACTCTTTCTCTCTTAAACAGATGGGGCACAATTATTTTTATCTGCTTTGTTTGCATTGGTCAGGTAAGAAAGACCAAAACATCAATTATTTGCCAGTGACTTTTTCATTCTTGTCTAAGCATTTCCATGGAAAGTGTATTTAGTGAATGCCTAGTTTAGCCAGTATCCATAAATGCCCTTGAGGGCTAATATAGCATATTTTACACCTTGACATATATGTACATTATCATTTTAATTTCATGGGTTACAGAGGAATAGTAAAACTATTGTAGAAGTTATGATTTATCTTAAGTTACTGTTTTTTTTTTCAATACTTTGAGTCCTTTCATTGATTCAATATTAATTCTGTTATAGGTTATTTTTGCTCTGCGTGGAATATTTAATGGTTTTTGGATGATGGAATTGGAAAGATTTGTTTTGGGGTAAGTTATGTATAATTCCATTTATTTTAATATGTTTATTAAGGATTTATCTCTATCTCTGTATCTATATTTGATATTGGATATTGAACCCAGGGCATCACACATTCTAAACCTATGATCTACCACTGAGCTACCCTGCCCAGCCCCTTATTAAGGATT